ATGTTGCTCTCTTTCCTCTTGTATAAGGAACAACTTTATATTATCAGCCTGGCCTCCTGTATGGTGGATCCGTGGAACATGATTGTAGTGTCCTTCGCAGCATTGGCTATTACCTAGAGAGTCTTCTTTGTCTGGCTCCATTTATGAAGCACCCATTAAGAATAGTTCTGCGAGGAGTGACCAATGACCAGGTTGACCCTTCGGTGAGTAGTCAGGTCAAACCATGGTGTGATTTTTGCTTCGCCTCTTGTTACAACCCAACTTTTGAGAACAGGTTTCTGATAAAGTCACAGTTTTATTGTTGGATGTATTTGTTTGTTATTTACCTTGAGATGTAGAGATTAATCACTCCAGGAGGCAGATGAACCAAGACTTGTAATCATCAAATCCAGTGGCAATTGTTAACATTTATCAAGATGCCTTTCTGTCATATCTAAGAACCTTCAGAACAGACACTTGTAGTCTCATCATGATTGACATGAAATATGGCTGTGTTGGCCACAGTGTTTGAGAGTAGAACTTTCATAAGGTCATGTGATAGCTGAGGCTGGAAGGTGATAGCTGAGGCTGGAAGGCAGCAGACCAAAATTTTAGACATAAAATAATTTCTCCTTGGCATTGGTGCAACATAATCTTGATTTTCTCCGGCTTCACCTATAAACTTTAGGACTTTCTTCTTATGAGAAGAGTTTGTAGATTTAGAAAAAGGGCACAAGGGTAGGGAAGGTTTGTGTGAGCTTTGATAGTTTCTTTTTGAGGATGCTAACTTTCCTGCAGGTATAGGGAGGATAGTTTAATATAAAGGTGGAATTTTCATTGTGGTCACCACAACTGTCTTAGTGCCAGTCTAGGATGGGTTTTGTCCTCGACTCATGCCCGTGAGAGAGAGAGAAAGAGGGAAAAAAAATAGATTAGAGCAGTCCTGTCTAGGCCTGCCCTATACCTGTTGTAGGGAGGGAAGGATCCCCACCTTGGGATGCTCTGCTTTCCAGAGAAGGTATCTTACAGCTGAGGGCATGATGTGAAGTCCTAATCAAGGACTCTTACCTTCACCTCTACAGACAATGCAGGAGCGGCTTCTGAGGCAGAATGTGAAGTGTGTAACTTTCCTAACCAAAGAAGACCATTTAGGAGGTTCAGTGGGCTCCAAAGTGGAAGCTGCTGATATTTACCAAGACACTTATTAGGGTATAAACCTGGTTAATGTGTTTTTAGGCATTAAAAGACTTATTCCCCATCTTGGGAGTTCGAGTACATAAAATCTTTTCCTAGAATATGAGTACAGTGCAAGATCTGAAATTGTTAGCTGTAAAGGAATGTTGTAAAAACTGTTTAGAATTTAAAACTAATTTTAAAGGATTGCTTTTTTCCTGAATTTTCTGGAAGATTCTAGGAAATGGGCCCTTCTGTTAAAAGTGTTCTTGAGAGGAGGCCTCTACACTTTTAGATTGGAGGGTAGCGAAGGTGCCTTGAATAATAGGAAAAGACCCTGAAGCATACGGGAGACTTTGGCACTGTGTGTCCCAGTTTTGTACTTTTTTTCTATAATTGCTAATGATCTAAAAAGCTGTAATCACTGGCAATATTTTAAAAAGTTTTACACATTAACAGACAAAGATTAGTTGGTGAATTCCCCAGAAATCATACTTAACTTTTATGCAGAGTATTTTTAAAAAATCTGTTTCATGTGCTGCAGGACTATTCACTTTTGACAGCTGCATGACTAAAGTGACCTTGGTTAGCACTTGTCTCCAACCCAGGATAAAATACATATACCTAATCTTGTATAAAGAGTAACTTCTCCAGCCTGTGGCTTCTTCATTTTGAGCAATCTCTTTAATGTGTGGTTTCCCCATCAGTTGATGTCCACATTTATTATGCACCAGCGTGAATAAGATGAGTTCTGCCTTTGGGAACTCAGCCTCATGGGGAAGATAGCTGTGAGCACAGCTAGGGACACTACAAGGCTGAATATTTATGGGCTCTGATAGAGGTACAAGCAAATTGCTGAAGGTTGAGGAACATTTTCTAGAGGAATGGAAACCATAGAATCAGTCTGGTTTTTAGGAAGATAACTCTGGAGGTTGAGAGAAGGATGAATTTTCAGCTAGTTTGAACATAAAAGAGATGGAAGGGGAAAGAAAGGGACAGATATGAAGGACAGTGTAGAGGGAGACTTTATAACTTGACAACTAATTGGAGATAGGATAGGAGAAAGTGGTCATAAATAACTCCATGATTTCTCTCCTGGTTGACTCGAAGGATAGTGATCAGAGTTGGACACAGGGAAGAGGAAAATTGTGATTAGATGATGGGTGATATGCTTGATTTTGGTCCTGTTCTCTGGTATGTTGGCAGGATATCTACATGAGGTTGTCCAGTGGGCAGTTGGAAATTATTGTCTGGAGCCTCAGTGATAGGCCATCAGTTTCTTACCCGCTGATATTAAATTCCTAGAAGAATGAGATTAACCAGTGCCGAAATTGAACACTGGTGGCTTTTTGGCTGAAATATTCTAGTGTTTTTCTTTTGGCCTGCATAGTGTGGTAGTGTATGTATCTGAATTGGATGTTCATGTTTGAAACCCCAGATTTTATGTTATAGTAGGTTGACGGGGCAGCACTGGATGGCTGTTCTTCCACGACAGCCACCAATTGGAACTGAGTAGCAGCTGCCTTGTTTGGATAAGGCATGAGCCCTCCAGTTAGCTGGAAGTCTTAGCTGACCTCATCATTCATTTAAATTCCCTTTCTTTTTTCCCCATCTATCTATTTATTTATTAACTTATTAATTAGTTTATTATTTTTTAACTAATTAATTTATTTTTTATGGTGACATTGGTTAACAAAATCCAGTAAGTTTCAGCTGTACATTATAACAGTAAGACATATATATATACTTACATTGTGTGTTCACCTCCCATAGTTAGATTTCTTTCTGTCACCATGTATTTGACCCCTTTTACCCTATCTGCCTCCCTCCTCCCTCCTCCTAAATTCCCTTTCTGACCTCTGTGGGCATTAGAGTTTTTGCCCCATGGTCCCAAGGACTGAGAATAGAAGAGGAAATGAATGTTTAAGGTGTGAGTAGGGGAAGAGGAGCTGGCAACGACTGTGGAGATAGAAGTGTTTAGAGAAATCAAGTAGAAGTTGAGTTCTAAGAAGCCAGAGAGGACCTAGAGAGTCAGCCTTAGCAGAAGTTTATTTAGGACTCGGCAGGGAGATTCATCAGTGAGAAGTTTTATTGACCTTTGAGAAAACAGTGTCAATGGAGTGTAAAGACAGTTACAGTGAGGAGCGAGTTGGAAAGAGAACTATGGAAGGTTAGGAGATCTTTCCAGAAGGTTAGATTGGATGACTCCTGAAAAGATGAGGTTTAGAATTTTTTTTTTTTAATGAAAGGAGACTTGAGCTTGCTTGTAGGCTGAAGAGATGCTGTAATGGAGAAGGAAGGAATTAAAATAAAAAGCATTGGAGGATTTAATAAGGGTAACTCCTGCAGAAGTCCAGAGAGGATGAAGATCGAAAGCAGAAATGATGGGATGAGCCTTATAAATGGGTAGGGATATTTTTTCCTCATAGGCAAAAGAATAGAAAATGGGGAGACATTTCAAGAAGAAAAGTTCCAGAAGGCCTCATTTGAATCTCAATGATTTGGCACCAGAGCCTGCAGTAGATATTTATTGGTGCCAACAATCTGGTCAGGTGGTGAATGACGATTCCTTTCTTTTTCTTTACCATCCTGGAAAAGGAAAAGAAGTACAATAAAGCCAACTGTGTGCTGGGCACTGTTCTAGTAAATAAAATGTATTCATATTTGTTTTATTCTGGTACAAACTCTGTGAGGTAGGTGTTCTCGTCAGTTTCAGACACGGTAACCGAGAGCAGGTTTCTTCCTCTCTATTTGGCATCTATCTGATGACATTTCTGCCTGTTGATTGAGTGACTGAACTGTCAGGATGATGACACTTTTGCTCTGAGGTGCCACTTGGGTTAGACTTTTGCTTTTTCTAACCACAGAGTGACTGCTCAGTTTCCCTTAAGCAGAACTTGCAGACCATCCCCACTCTGCGAAAACTAGTGAGCAGAGTTAGAGGAGACCATGGAACATGTCTAGTCTAGCTCCTCATTTTACACAACAGGAAGCCTGGTGGGATGGGAAAGTGTCCAGGTCTCATAGTTAGTATGAGGCAGCGTGGGAGTCAAGTTCACATCCACTCTTTCAGTCCCTCTACACCAAGTTGCCTGCCCTTCATGTCAGGTGGAGAGTGCTTTGGGAGATAGAACCATGCCTGAAGTTACACTTGGGCTTCCGGCTAACCCTCAGAGTAAATCTGACTCATTCTGTGTGACTCCAGGTACAGGTAGGATGAGTCACAGGGTTGTTTGGTTTTTCTCATCCCCACCCCCTCCACACCCCCTTCCGGAGAGCTGGTGGCTGGTTAGTTCCCAGGAGTCTTGTAGACAGAGTAACCCACATCCTTGCATCCCTGTTTTTTTCCCCAGAATCTGGCTTGGCCTTCTCCCCAGCTGCACTTAATACTAACATAGACAGAATTCCTCTTGTTTCTGACAATCCCAATTACATATTTTAAGTATTTGAGTATGTTTAGCTTTAATAATTAATTGAAATTAGCTAATCTTGAATGGTTTTCCTAGTAATGGCTTCTGTTCCACCTGGTCCATTTAGGTTTCGTGGAGCATTTCTACCTCTGGTTAATTTTCTGACAGCAGAATATTTGGGGTCTTTTCTCTGCTCTGAAGCCTTATTTATTGGAGTATCATTCCATTGAATCTTAGCATGTTAGAGTTGGTAGCAACTTGGAGACAGACAGGCTGAGCCCTTGACCTTAGAGACAAGGAAAATTCAGGCAGTTGGGATTTTCTTGTCTGAGACCATGCCCATTGGGAACAAATAAGGGAGTAATTTTCTTTCTCAAGTTGCATTTGAGGCACCATTCACTGACTTGTTAGATAAACATGATTCGAATGCCATCCTTATACTCTGAGAAGTCCACAGATGAACAAGAAGGGACCCCAGTTCTCCTATGAGTTCTGAATTGGAGAAGATGACAGTAATACTTGGCACAGTCTTGCCATTACTATGCAGTTTGGAGTTTGTGCCACTTCAGGTAGTTTGAGGCTATCATTCCCCTACTGCCCTCACTTTCTTATAGAATCAACCACCTACTCTTTAACTGCCTGTGTGGTGAGCATCAGCAGGATTCTTAGGTAGCTGTTTTGCTTTAGCTAAGAGTGCCACCAGCCTTAAATATTAAACAATCATGTTGGGAAAAGATTAATTAAAAAGACTGATATTTTCTTTCATAGTGTTTATACCTAAAAGAATGAGCAGAGGTCCCAGTTTGTTTTCTGTATGAGCCTGGTAGTTTTTCGCTACTTTTTGCATGATAAATGTGATGCTCATGATGATGACTCTTGGGGTAGGTACAAGTCTCTATGAGGAAAGAGACTCAGAGGAGCCAGTGACTTATAAAATTGCAGTCTTGGGAGCAGAGCTGGTCCACACACGCTCAGTCGTAAGCCAGCATCCTTTCTCTTTACTAGACTACGTCATCTACCTCTTACTATGCCTCATTCTGCTTCATGGGCTCTTTCTTCTTGCCATCTGCTCAAGGTTTAATGAAACTTTTTTTTAATTCTGAAATAATTCTACAGGTTGATGTTCTTAGGGCAACGGCCCTCCCATTATTGAAACAGTTTGGGATTGATGGTGAATCATTTGAGCTAAAGGTAAGAATGTGTGAATTGTTGGCTGTATATATCTGTGTAAAACATTACCTTACCAACTCATTGGAAGAGCTGTATGATGTGTGTATACGTGTGTGTGTCCCATTTGAAGTCACCATTTACAAGAAGACCCACAGGACTCATGAATCAAAGATTACCGACTTTTAACTGAAAGGGACCCTTTAGTGATGACAATGGTAACCAACAGTTATATTGCATTTCTTCATGATAGGCACTATTGTAAGCATTCTACATGTATTAATTCCTTTACTCCTTATAACAACTCTATTCATGTCACTCAGCTAATAAGTAGTGGAGCCAGAATTCTGACTATAATGCCTCTCTAATCTAGATCATCTAGATACAATTTATGTCCAGAGCCTTTCAACCCGGATGCCCCTGGGAATTTTTAGTGTATTCAAAACCTACTAGAAGTAATATAAGCATCTCTTTGTTTGCTATTGAAAGGAATTATATCAAGTTAGTGTGATAACTGGATATCTTAAGTCATTTAGCATCTCTGCTTTTTAAAATTGATGTTTTTAAATGATAAATGACTTCATTTTTATTGAATATAGTCATGTGCCACATAATAACATTTTGGTCAATGATGGACCGCATATATGACTGTGGTTCCATAAGATTATAGTGGAGCTAAAAAATTTCTATCACCCAGTGACCTTGTAGCTATGGTAACATTGTAGTGCAGTGCATTACTCACGTGTTTGTAGTGATGCTGGTGTAAACAAACCTACTGCTCTGCCAGTCATATAAAAGTATAGCAAATACAATTAACATATAGTACATAATATTTGATAATAAATGACTATCTTACTGGTTTATGTATTTACTATACTTTTTATTGTATTTTAGCGTGTACTCTTTCTACTTATAACAAAAAAATTTGCTATAAAACAGAATGCTCTGTTACGCTGACAGCAGCCTCATACATCTCTTGTTTACCATGTCTTTTGATTGCGTTATTTCCTCTTGTGCTTGATTTAATCTCACATTATTTTGTTCATCATGGCCCCTAAGCATACAAAGTCCATTGCTAATGTTGCCATTAGGAGACCACATTGAATGATTGACCTGGCAATGAAATTAAAAAGTGGTTAAGGACTACAAAGGTGGGAAATCAGTGATGGTTATTGCTCGCCAGTTAGGTGTGTCACATTCCATCATAGCTGCGTTCTTGGGGGACAAGAACAAAGTGATGGAAGCTAAGGATCTGCTTCACTGAAGGCAACAAGACCAACAAAAATTTGAGAAGGGCTTATATCAGACATGGAGAAACTTCTAATGACCTGGATTGAAGACCAGACACAGAAGCATATCCCTCTCAGAACCATGATGATCTTGGCCAAAACAAAAAGGTTTGTTTGCAATGTTGAAAGAAAAGGCTGGACTTGACTATGATGTTGAATTTACTGCCAGCCCTGGGGTAGTTTAAACGATTCAAGAATGGTTATTCGTTACGTAATGCAAAAGTAAGTGATGAGTCGTAGTGCTGTTGTGAAGGCAGCTGAAGAATTTTTGGAAACTCTAGATATGCTGATTATGGAGGAAAATTACTTGCCAGAGCAAATATTCAATATATGTGAAACCTTCCTCTTCTGGAAACAAATGCCTTAAAGGACTTTTTTTCCTAAGAAGGTGGAATCATACCAGGTTTCAAGGCTTTTAAGGACAGGATAATAGTCTTGCTTAGGGGCAGTGTTTCAAACTACAAATTGAAACCCTTTGTGATCTGGCACAGTGAGAACCCTAGAGCCTTTAATCACACACTACCACTGTACTACAGGAGCAGTAAAAAGTCATGGATGACCAGCTGCTTTTCTAAGATGCCCTCCTGAATGGCTGTTTGGAGTGTAACATAACCTTCAGGATTTTGCTTATTGTTGACAGTGTTCCTGGACATCCTCCTTTTGTTGGTGATCTTCATCCCAAACACTACCTCTTTGATCCAATCAATGGATCAAGGAGTTAAAGCAGCTTATAAGGCTTACTATCTGAGGAAGACCTTTGTCCAGGCCATTGCTGCAACTGAGGAGGGCACTGATGCAATTCTGGAAGGATTACAACATCTATGGCTGCATCAAGAACCTTGCTTGGGCTTGGGGTGATGTCACCAAGGAGTGTATGAATGGTATCTGGAAGAAGACATTCAGGAGGTTTGTTCATGACTTCAGAGGATTTGTCAAAGATGAGGAGGTAACAAGGCTGTGGTTGAGATGGCAAACAACTTTAACCTGGGTGTGGATGAGGCTTATATTGAGGCTCCTAGAAATGGTTCCTGAAGAATTGGCTTTTGAGGAGTTGTTGGAACTGGAACAAGAACATGTAGAAGTAGAAGAGGCAAGGGAACAGGAAACCACAGGAGAATACAAAGAAGAGCCCCCAAGAAATTTCCTAGTGAAGGGTTTAGCAGAAGCTTTTGTAGAACTCAGGAAGCTCCTTAAAAAGTTTGAAAACGTGGACCCTAACACCAAAAGGTTATCATTAATAGAGAGGAATGTTCATGGTGCATTATCTGCAAATCTATGATGAAAAAAGAAACAAACAAAACCATCATGGGCATATTTCTGAAAAGAGTGACACCTCCTCAAGAAGAGCCTCGGGCAGATATTTCAGAAGACATTGTTATCGTAGATGACAGCTCCATGGTTGTTGTTATCCCTGAAAACCTTCCAGTGGGACGAAATGTGAAGGTGGAAGACAGTGATATTGATGATCCTGACCCCATGTTAGCCTAGGCAAATGTGTATGTTTGTGTCTTGTTTTTAACAGTTTAAAAAGTTTAAAAAAAATTAAAAATAGAAAAAGACTTTATAGATAAAGATGTAAAGAAAGAAAATATTTTTGTACAACTGTACAATATATTTGTGTTTTAAGCTAAGCGTGTTGTTACAAAGTAGTTAAATTTTAAAAAGTTAAAAAGTTTGTGAAGTAAAAAATTGACAATAAGTGAAGATTAATTTATTATTCAAGAAAATCTTTTAAAGTAAATTTTAAGTAGCCTAAGTGTACCGCGTTATAAAGTCTACAGTAGTATACAGTAATGTCCTATGCCCTCACGTTCACTCACCACTCATTTACTGACTCACCTAGAGCAACTTCCAGTCCTGCAAGCTCCATGGTAAGTGACTGATATGGGTGTACCCTTTTTTATCTTTTATACTGCATTTTTACTGTACCTTTTCTATGTTTAGATATGTTTAGATACACAGATATTTAGCATTGTGTTATAGCTGCCTACAGTATTCAGTACTGTAACATGCTATACAGTTTTGTAGCTTAGGATCAACAGGCTGTATGATATAGCTTAAGTGTGTAGTGAGCTATGCCATCTAGGTTTGTTTAAGTACACTCTATGATGTTTGAACAATGGCACAGTCACCTAATGATGCATTTCTCAGAACGCGACCCTGTCATTAAGTGGGGCATGACTATAATGCAGAGTTTTGATAGATTAGTTAATTGAACAGGAAGAGAAAAGGGTTCCTGATGGTTAAGAAATGCGATTAGCTCACGGAATAGGCCAGTCCTTCATTTTAAGGCCATGTTGGACTTCCATTTCTGACATACCACGAGGTGTCCTTGCTTATCACGTGCCCTCTTGAAGCTAATGTAATGTGCTGTTGATCTTGAAGGGATTGCCAAGTTGAATGTAAAAGAGCTATCTCTCTTCTAAGGAAGAGCCCGTTTATATAAACCTTATGGGTTGCGTGTCAGAGTCATCCACTCTTGCCTGTCCTTGTCTCTTCTTTCTTACTACCTATGCAGATTGTGCGACGAGGAATGCCTCCTGGAGGAGGAGGTGAAGTGTTTTTCTCATGTCCTGTAAGGAAAGTCCTGAAGCCCATTCACCTCATAGATCCAGGAAAAATCAAACGTATCAGAGGAATGGCGTATCCTTTGCATTTGGTTCATATTTCTTATTTTTTTCTCATCTCACTAAGATAAGAATGACTTATAACAACATTACTGCTCCCTAGGGTCATTTACATTTTAGACAGCAGTCATGGAAAAGTCTTAACAGTGAAATTATAATTGTTGGCTGAGATATGATGCTTTATTATCTGCCTCACCATGATTAGATTGATTCATTCATATTCTTTTTTAATTAACACTTAAATGGCTCCCTTGTATGTGATACTCTCCTGAGGGCTCTGGTTTGGGGGCCACCAGTACACTTGTAGTCCCTCTCTCAGAAGAGCTCATCGTCTGGTGAAGGAAACATATATAAACACACGGTTCTGATATAATATGTAAAATGATATGGACATATGTGTAATGGGCTGGGAGATCTGAGTAGAGAGTAACTAATTTTGTCTGGAGGATATAAGAGGGCTGGAATAATAATATCTACTGTTTATTAAGTGTTTACACTGCATCTATTTCATGGATAATTACTTAATATACTTAATTTTTATTTACTTTTCAAAAACTTTATTAAGGTATGATTGACATCTAAAAAGCTGTATGTATTTGATGTATACAACTTGATCAATTTGGAGATAAGTTTATGCTTATGAAACACAATGCAGTATATATATCCATCACTTCCAAATGTTTCCTCTTGCCCTCTTTATTTAAAATTTGTTTGTTTGTTTTGGCATAAACTTAACATAAGATCTTTTGGGAAGTTTTAAGTACAGTACACAATACAGTATCATTAACTATATGCATTATATAGATATCTCAGTCTTATTTCTCTTGTATAACTGCAACTTTGTATCCTCTGACCAAGACCTCCCTGTTCTCTCCCCCGTAGTCCCTGGCCACTATCATTCTACTTTTTGCTTCTATGAGTTTAGTATTTCAGATTTCTTGTTTAAGTGCGATCATGTAGTATTTGTTCTTCTGTGTCTGGCTTATTTCACTTAGCACAATGTTTTCCAGGTTCATTCCTGTTGCCCTATTGTCATGTATGACAGGATTTTCTTCTTTTTTTAAGGCTGAATAACACTCCATTGTATGTAAATATCACATTTTCTTTATTCATCTGTCGATGGACATTTAGATTACTTCTATGTCTTGGCTAGTTGTGAATAATACTGAAATGAACATGGGAGTACATATTATCTCTTACAGATCCTGATTTCATTTCTTTGGATGTATACCCAGAAGTGGGATCACTGGATCATATGGTAATTTGTAAACCATGCTGAGGAGTTGTTCTTCATTTTAAATCAACAATTTACTGCTGTAGAGTAAATTTGCATATTGAGGACAACTTTGTTGACACTGTAAGAACTTTTGGCTGCTTTTGGCTCATTTAAATTTTGGAAGGTACAACTTAAAAAAAAATCACCTAATGGCAACTACTTAGAGGCAAAAATGATAGAGAATTATTGTGTCCTAAAGAGACATGATGAGGGTAGTGGCCAGACAGGGCTGTTAGTTTATAGAGATCCTAGAGGCAGGGTGGATAAGATGCAGTGATTACCTGCTCTGTGATAGAGGAGTAAGTAGTCCGTGAGGATGATTTTTTATATTCACTTGGGCACCTGGGTGGAGAGATTTGTTCTTATAGTAGCTACAAATGTTTGAGTGGTGTATGGTGGAGTACAGGGCATGAAGATAGGTTCAGTTTTATTCATGTGGGGTTTGAGGATCCTTCAGGATGGTTACAGGGAGACAAGTCTAGAAAGGAAATTAGAAATGTAGATCTGTAACTTAGGGGCAAGGTGAGGGCTAGAAGTGAATACTTTGGAGTCAGCTACTCATGCAGACTGCAAAGAGAGGAGGATGGAACCTTGAGAGGCCACTAAGACTTGACAGCAAAAGCAAAGTAAGTGCTCCCAGGAAGGGAGACTAGGGAAAGTCATGTTAAAGAAAACACAGCTTCTTGGAAGCCCAGGTCAGTGCCTTGAAGAGCCCAGAGGAGTCAGCATTAGAAAGGCAGAATAGCTGAGGAATTCACATCCGGCTGCCACTGATGTCCCTGGGAGGAGCTCTTTCTATAAAGTGGTGGAGACAGAGACCAGATAATTAATTCTGGGTTGTGGGGTGACCGGGAGGAAAATGATGAAGTGTGAAGGTCATTCTTTGAAGAATCTTGACAGGAAAGAGAAGAAGAAAGAAAGATAAGGTGGTAACTTGATGAAGAATTGATAAGATTCCTTCCCTTTAAAAAAAAAAAAGGGTGGTAATGATTTGAGTATTTTTGTAGGTTGTAGATTTAAGTATGAAATTTAAGTAGATTTAAGTATGAGAGAGGGAGACTGATGAACCAAGGTAATAAGGTAATTAAAGCACACGTGCTGGAATCAGGCAGATGTGGGTTCTAACTCTGGCTTTGCCATTCACTGATGGTAGGATTTTGGCCCCAAGCCTTGGTTGTCTTGTTTGTCATTGGGCCCATTATACCTACTGTACCTGTAATGAGGGTTAAATGAGGTCATAGATGTATAGTACAAGGCACTGTGCTCATATATAAGTAAGCATTCCGTAAATGGTAGCTGCTGTTATTTTTATTATTTGAGAAGGGATGGATCGAGAGTGGCAGGCATATGGTAAGGATGGCTCTAGATTGATTTGTCTGGAGGTGAGTGGAAGGGAGTTAGGAGTTTTCAATTTTCACTAAGTTAGGATGGATTCAAGGATAAGGATTGGCAGAGGTGTGATAAGGGAGCATGACAAGAGTGGTAAAGATGTGCTCTCACAGTGGGGCATAGTAATGAAAGATAAGAAAAATGCTGTGGGACAGCAGTATGGGCTCAGTTGAAGCTGTATCATGGTTCCAGCTGCATGGCTGTGTGGCTGCATTTGGCGGCAGTTGGCAGCCTAGAGGGAGGAGTAGAGAAGACAGGAGGGCCAGTTTCATCCAGGGATGGGTGTGATTGACAGGTTGAATGAGTAGTGCAGAATGGTGGGTTAGATAGGTGGTATTTGTGACATGACATTGAAGTGATAGCCAGTGCAGCTCCTTACTAAGTAACACAGCAGGGGCTTGCCACCCTGCGGAAAGCACATGGTCCAAGGATTAGAAACCTTAACAGGTTGAAAGGTTGAGTCTAGTGGAAATAGATAATGTGTGCTATGTAGAAGAACAAGAAATTGTGTTTAGGGAATCGTTTTGGGGTTTCAAGATATTAAAAATGGTAAATTTCTAGGTGATGACAAGATCTAGGTAAAGGCAGGTGTTGGAGGTCATGGTAGTGGATGGGGTTGGGAAATGGCTTTCCCAGTGGGAGTTTGTTAAAGTAGGGTTGACCAGGATTTCTGCTTCTCAGGGATAGGGTAGATGCTTAAAGTCAAGTTTTGTATTTCTCAGGAGATTTTGGGGTGGTCTGTCTTGGAGGAAAAGTGTGCAGTGGACTGACTTTTCAGAGGCCTTTATTAGCTTGAACAGTAAGTGGTGAAAAAAATGGAATAGAGTGGGCTGCGTACCCATGGGTAAGAGAAGGCTGTTGTAGAGTTAAAAGATCAAACCTGGAGTGCTGCCTGAAATTCTTTATAAGGATCATCAGGAACAGAGGAATTTCTAACAAAGCTTCCCTGGATTATGGTCTGTTCTCTACATGGCTATCTTGGCCCTACCTAAGGGCCACGCCCTACATGTGAGGAGAAAGTGGGCGGGTGGGGGAAAAATAGTTTCTGTCCTGGGAGTCCCCAGGTTGATGGATAGTTAAATTAACTTCATTGTTGCCAAAAAATGCTGCAGTTAGTTAATGGCCTTGTCCATGAAAGCCTACACGCTGCCAGGTCTATTTCAGTTAGTTTTCTCATTTGAGGTTTGTTTCCTAAATGCTGTACTGTTGCAGTGAACTCTGCTTGGAATCCATTACCTGTAGTCAGGAAATGTGATTGCCAGCATTTGCTCTGTTTGTTTTCACATAATCTTGTGGTAACAACATGGGTTTCATGGAGGCTGTCACACTGGGGTCCTGCCTGTAGTGGATGTGCAAAAGCCACATGAGTAAGCCTTTGATGATGATCCTGAGAAATTGGGAAGGCCCTGGGTTGTGCAGAGAACATGAAAGCTGAAAGCTCTGGTGCCTCAGGCACCTGAGATGTGACTGTTCCTCCCTAATTTCTCCTTTGGGTGTTCTTAGAGCCTTCTCTATATAGAATCTGAGCCAGACAGACAGTAGTAAGGACCCAAATCCCTCCTCTTGGCCTGGGATAAGACACCTGAATCCTCCCTAATCTTCTTCTAAACTCCCCTGGAAAGTTGAAGCAGCTCCCTTGTTTAGATCTCTGTCTGAAAACCAAACATTCCAGCCACTGGTCTGCGGAGCTGCCCATTTCACAAACACCTCCAAGGAATGTGGATTTGGCCAGTTTTGGAGCCTGGAAAAAAAAGAGCCGCCTTTGGAAAAAGCTTTAGCTGGTTTTGTGGTTTTTACTTGCAAGACTGGTTAACTGTTGGGCTGAGCTTGGAGGTTATATTCCTCATAGGAAAGCTTGATAGAACTAGCCTTATTCTCTTGGGTGCATTTGTGATTTTAATGAGCTATGGCCCAAAGTGCATCTTTTCTCTCTCTGACCAGCTGGCCAGGGCCTAGGTGGGAGCTATTCTTGATTCCTACCAGCAGCTGTGAGTAGAAAATGAGGTTACCATTTATTTAATGCCGCCCACTCTCATTCTCCCCTTTGCCTGATGCAGAAAGGAGCACTCTGTTTTAATTTTAATAGTGCTGTCCTAGTAGCTCTTGATCTGGTACATAAGAATTAAATGAAGAAACAAGTAGAGGCAGAAGATTGGCATGAGTCAATCTATCAGTTTGTGTGTGTGTGAGTTTGTGTGTGTGTGTGTGTGTGTGTGTGTGTGTGTGTGTGTGTGTGCGCGCGCGCGCGCACACACACACACAGTCACTCACTCACTCACTCACTCTCTCACTCCTTGGCTTTCTCTGACCTGCAACCCTACGGGGAGGGTAAAGGGTGTGCACTCCATAGAGACTAGCTATGAACTTATCTCTCTTGGATATGAGTTAATATGGTATTCATAAATGAGCTTTAGGACGTTCACAATCTTTGAAATTGTCTGCAAAAGTGTGTTCCTTTGTTTCTTGAGAGAGGGTCCATAACTTTCATCAGATTCTCAGAAGGGTCTCTGAGTCCTGAAAGGATAAGAACCTCTGCTTTGGGATTTGAATCTTGGACTGACAATAAGAAAACCAATAGTTGATATTCATTGGGCTCCAACCCTCCACCAGGCACCACTAGGTCCTTGACGTGCATTATTTCATTTGAGCCTCCAAACCCTGTGGGGTAGTATTATGATCATCTTTCTTTTACTAATGAGGAAGCAAAGGCATAGAGAATAGCACATTAGACCCAGTATGTTGCAGTTTGCTGGAGCTGGGACTTCAACACGGATAGTCTGATTCTAGAACTCTTATTTAGTCATTCCTTGGTAGGGCCTCCATGCCAAGCCAGGTGACTCCACAGTGACCCTGGGATGTAGCCGGCTTTAAAGCTCCTTTCCCTTCACCTCACTGCCTGAATTGTAGTATAGACTTCCACTGGCGCTGAGTTGGCATTGTCACCCTCCTGGTTTCTACATCTCCGGAGGGGTAGATGAAGGAGATTGTCTTTGGGAAGTGGATCTTTTTAATTTTGAAACTTAGTTCTGTGACCTAGTTGTCCTTAGTGTAAGCCCTGGAACCAGGAATCCATGGCCCTTGTCAAGTGGTTACTATGGGTGTAAGTTCATAAGGTACCTGAAAGGACTTTGGGAAACATGAATGCTGTGGAATTATGTATCAGGATAGTGACTCTGTGTTCTCTTAGGGAGAGTGGGCAGCCTCAGGCCTCACCTGCACCCACCTAGTCCAAAGGGTATGAGATCTGAGACTGTTTGTCTAAGCTACTGGTGGTCAAAAGTACATTCTGGACAGAAGAGGTGGTGATGTAACTGGGCTCTGTGTGTGCGTATTGAAAAATCCCTCTTTGCTCTTTCCTCATTTCAGGTTTGTCCTTTGAGTCAAGTCAAATATTTATCAAATATTTCTGAGTACAAAAGTAGTGTATTGGAGAGTTGTGAGGGATGCAGCAGCAGGGCCCCTTTCCTTATGGAGTGTGCGGTCTCATTGACGAGCAAGAACATGTGTATATATGAAGGGAGATGTATGGTAAGTTCAAGTGCAGACCACAGTCAGGTGCTGGCTGGAGGGTTTCAGGAGAGAGAGGGAACTCTGGACTGGGAACAGTGGAGGAAGACAGTTCAAGATGAAGGATTGGGATGAGTGGAGGGAGTGATATTGCCGGGTTGTGGATGAACACTGAGCAGGTTGGAGGGTTAGACAGCAAGATCTGGGAGGGCCCGGAGTTACTGGTTGATTCTCAGTGTGAGGAAGATTGATCTTTGAGTAGAATGTTCAGGATAAATCAAAAAGGGAAACTAGATGGTAGTCAAATTTTTGCACACACTCAGAGCATTTTGTTTCTGCACCTCAAATAAAAATTAGATGTGTTATTGATAGTAATTTTTGAAAAGCTGAGCTAGAATGGGCATACCGCACACTTTGTTTTTCCTATTGGACTTGCCTCATGAGGTTTGTATAAGGGTCGTGGGAAAATAATGTTATTCTCCGTTTCTTTATCCCCTCGTCCCACATATGTAGCTAGCTCATGGCCATGCATTGCACATTGCAGGTGCTCAGTACATACTTATTTTTTATTTGATTAGTAGGGTTGAGAAGAGCCAATTTCTGTAATAAAGTCTAATTTTAGGTAATCATTTCCACTTCCTCAAGCATCAGCTTTTTCACTTGAATTGCTAATCTATTCCCCCTTTCTTTTCTGGGGGTGCCCTGTTGTAAAAGTGCTAATTACCAGTATTTTGACCATAAGATTATAGTTGTGAGGTATCTGTATCATCCTCAAGTGGAGGGATTGATACTTAAATAATTGAAAATAAGCTCTAAGTAAAAACAAACAAACAAACAAAAACCCAAACAAACCTGTTTAGGTTTTTATATACTACGGCAGCTACCACGTTCTTTCACTAATCTTTTTTTGCTTCCTCTTTTTTTGCTCAACAGACCAGGGAGTGGATTGGTCAGCTCCAGTGTGGTATCTGTTCTGGTCTTAAGTTCTAAGAGAAAGACTTATTTGTTACAGCAGTGGGGGATGGTCAGAGAATACTTCAAAGCCGGTCTGGCTCATGCCCTACAGAGAGGGAGTTGCCTTCACTTGTTCCAAAATTGAGTTGAACCATTTCTAAGGGTGGGGGTATGGGTAGGAAGTCTAGAGCAGGGTTGGGAGGTTTTACTTTCTAACTATATTGTTTGGATTTTTTCATCATGAGCATTTAAGCCTTTTATAACAATAGTATAAAAATTATGTAATAAATAAAAATTGAAGATGACACTATACAGTTAAATAATGAAATACAGTTGGAAAATAAAATGGAATTAGAATTCCCAGTTTGTTATTGTAGTTTCACAAATATTCTCCAGCTTTATAACTAACTTTTCCCTGTTCTGGAGTCCAAGCAGAATGACACCCTTAACTCTAGTTTGTAGGTACTCTGTGCGTGTATCACCTCAGATGGCAAACCGGATTGTGGATTCTGCAAGGAGCATCCTCAACAAGTTTATACCCGATATCTATATTTACACAGACCACATGAAAGGAGTCAACTCTGGGAAGTAAGTGTCTGTGCATTTTTGGAGCCTAATTCTGCAGCTACCCTAGCCTTTTTCATACTTCTGTTCTGCTTGAAGTTAAAGCTGCCAGCTCTGAGGTTGGGCAACCAGAGTAAGAACAGTTTCAGAATTAATTTCCTTCTGACTTATTGCCGTTGTCACCAGCAGCTGCTGTCACATAGAAAGCATAACAGTAGTCAGTGCTGGGAGATGAGGAATCTAGTCCTTAGCTGAAGGGAATGAAAACCTAGCTATTAATAAAAAGCGCTTTAAGCTTTAAATCCCATCTGGACTATGTTCTCACACAAAATTAAAGTGAACAAGTTTATCCACCCTGAGTAAATAACAGTTTAGGGGGAAAAAAATCCTTTGTTGGCCTAAGTGCCAGTCGGATTCTTTCCCTGTCAAGAGCAACAACAAGCCCTAGAGACAAAGAAAGTTGTTATTGCAGATTTGAATTTGGTTTAGTTAATCCCATTGCAGAAAACCTCACTTTAGAAAATAAAAAGTTGATGATCTTTGTACTGAAAATACCTGTTTTAGGTTTTGGTTGTTTGTTCATTCATTCATTCATTCACTCATTTTTTAGGTGAGGCAACCCTTGATTGACCTCACAAATCGCAAGGACCTTGTCGGCTTACGATCCCTTATTTTTTATTTTATTTTTTAAAAAAATTTTTTACACCTATAGCACCTAGTCTTTCTTCCTAGGTGGTCTCCCAACCAAGTACTAACCAGGCCCGACCCTGCTTAGCTTCTGAGATCAGAGGGGATTGGGCTTGGCCATAGACTTGGTTGGATAGACTTGGTTGTACATTTAGAAACCAGTAAATCAGGGAAGCAAGTAAAACCGATTTTTTTACTATGAAAATGTTAAATATAAAGAAAGGTTGAAAGTAAATACCTCTTTATTACTACTACTATCTGTAGTTAATGAATATTTTGCAAAATTTGCTTTACTTGTATGTAGATTTTGTTTGTTTTTGTTTTTGCTGAATCATTTCAATGTGAATGACAGTATCATTGGACTTTGAATCTAAAGTTTTCAGGTTGTGTCTCCTAAAAATAAGAATATCAGAGTCTAAGATGGACTGTGGTGGGTTTAAGAAGTCAATTTTTCCTAAGTGGTGCCACAGTTAACCCTTTACACAGCTGTTCGATCTGAGGTTTCTTTTCAGCAAAAGAAGGAAAGAGAATAATGGAGGAGTGAGTGTGTTATGAGATATCTGACCTTTATGAGGCCCAAGGGAAAGATGAAGGTGATTTCAGAAATGCGGTGGTGGCTCACAGTCCAGAGCAACAGAGGTGGTGGTGTCAGAGGTTAGAGTTGGGAAAGCATTTGTGTGCAAAGGTGGCCCTTTCTTCTGGAGTTTAGAAAGATCAGTGATGATACCAAACCTTGGTGTATTGCTCAAATATGACCAGTGTTTTCCTCATTCATATCGTGGGAGTGATAACACCTGCATCTCTTGGTTACTGTAAAGATGAAAAGATCACATACATTAGCCACTAATGCAATGCCTGGCACATAGTAGGTGCTACAGAAAAGGTAGCTGCTAAGACTCTTTTTTCCTTTTTCCTCCGTTCTTGGCCAAGGGAATTACAGAGATGGAGGAGGATAGGTAGTTGCAGTAGCTATCTGAATGATCTGATCTCCGTCATGCCTTTTCTGTCTGGCCTCTACTTCTACCAAAAAGTGGCCAGGGATGAAGCATAGCAGGCCTCCAGCTATAGTATGGCTTTTTATAATGCCACTGACTCAGCTAACCTAGTGTGTGGTCTGGTCCTATACTTGCCAATGGTGAGTAGGAAACATACATGGATCAAGATGTGGGTATATGTAGACTCGTGGGTCAGCAACTCCAAGCTCCCTTAAAAATTAAAACCAATGCATTATGTTAAGTTTGTGTTTAGTTTTCTAAATCTTAAGTTACAGATGACAAATGGTAATCTTCCTTCTCTGTTATGAAATTGTAAAGTCCTGGTGGGTATTTTCCTCTTCTACGTCAATGAAATATCCATGTGAGTTAGGCTTATTGAAATCTAGGAGTGAAAGGGTTTAAGTTGTGGCCATGGCCTAGAAACTTAGGGTCAGCAATTCTTGGTGGCCTGTGACAGTTCTTTGACCAAAATGCACATCTGTCTAGTGCAGTCGCATTTTGACTCACATAATGACTTTTTAAAAAAAATCTATCCGTTACCAGTTGGAAAGTTTTGGTGGCTGTCACTTGTAAATTGTACCAATGTGCATCTTCAGTGAAGTCACCTGGTGACCAACTGCTTTGTCAGTGTAACTTGAAATAGGACTGATAGTACATACCGTAAATTGGGGGGAAATTTGAAATAATGTACATAAAGTTTAATATGTTATCTTGTTTTCTGTGAAACAAGTATATTAAATGGAACAATCTCAAATATAAAGTTTATTGTTATAACAAATACACATACCTCAAAAATTCACTTGGATGAGAAAATTTGGAAGTTCTTGGGAAATTCAGGTAAGTAGGTTAAAGCAGTGATGGTAGCTTATCTCCTGGTTCTCCCTACCCTCCATTTTTTATTTTTATTTTTATATGCCACTGCCTCTCTACAGCTGAGCTGGACGCCCCCTCCCTCCTCTTGGTCAAATGACTCAAAGGCAACTTGAGATTGTGGTAAAATGTCCCATGATGATGGATGGGTGGCATGGTGTTGGATTGTTAAGCATTACTCATAGTGCCCCTACGCGTAGTGCATGTTATTAAACCTGGGCTGCATAGACATTCAAAATTTTTTAAAGAAATTAAGGACTTGCCATTAAGGACAGTTCTTCCCTATAGTGAGCTAATGTAGTACATTTAAGACATCATTAATTTTATACATAGTTTTTCTGAAACAAATATCTTGGCCCAATGCATAGAAAGTGCTTCGTGAACATATGTGTTGAATTGTCTCAAAAGAGGCAGGTATGTATTGTGATTGTGTGTGGACTGTACTGCTCAGAAGGCTGCTGCTCCTTTCCTGATGACATATTTTCTTAGGTACTGGGAGAAGTAGATTTGAGGTGTCAAATCTGGAAATTTTGTGGGGAAGTGCTTGTTTTGATTGTTTATGGACTGATTTTGTTTGGGTCGAACTGGTGTCACTAAAGTCTGTGAGGGCAGGAACTCTTGTATTTACCACAGTGCCCCAGTTCCCAGCCCATGGAAGCTTTTCCCCAAATGTTTGTTGGATGCATGAATGAATGAGTGAGCTGTGGTCCTAGATAGGAGGGTGTTAGATTCTGAGTATTGGGTGGTAGAAACATGATGGGAGAGAACATGGTGCCAGCTCCTTGACTGAATTCTGAGTTAGAGATGATTGAATTCTGAGTGATTGAATTCTGAGTTAGAGATGTCCTTTAGGGACAAAAACATAAAGGTGTGTCTTAGCAATGTCCTTTATGGTTTATGTGATATTTTTTCATTATAGGGGAAAAAGGCACCCCCCCCCTTTTTTTTTTCTCAAGAAGAGCTGTAATCAGGTGCCCTCCAGGTTGCTTACAGCTTCTGGGTTGGTTGTGAGTGAGAGCTGTGGTGGAAATTTGTGTAGGCTTTGGAGTCTGAAGACCTATGATTGAAACACATCTCAGTCACTTTCTAGCTGGGTGGACTTGGTGCAGGTTGCTTAATTTCTCTATTTCCTCATTTGTAAAATAGAGACGTAATATCTACTCTGCAGAAACTGGCAGAAAGTAGGTGCTCAATATCTGGTAGCCCTTGTTAATGTTATTATAAATTCTCACAGTGGGATCTTTTGCAATGTAGGAGGGGAGGGAGAAGATAGAGAAGGGAGGGATAATAGGAAAAGCAATGGAAACTTAGATCTTCTGCCACGTAGGTCCTCACAAAGTAATGTATATTTCCAGTGTAAGCTAGAAGGAACTCTAATAAGGATTGATGTGACCAGACAGAATGCCATCAGAAAGATGTCTGTCTTTTTGTTTGCTGGTGAATGTTAACCCCACTTTATTAACCCTACTCAGTGTCCATGCCTTTGAATCCCCAGGTCTCCAGGCTTTGGCTTGTCACTGGTTGCTGAGACCACCAACGGCACCTTCCTCAGTGCTGAATTGGCCTCCAACCCCCAGGGCCAGGGAGCAGCGGTGCTTCCAGAGGACCTCGGTAGGAACTGTGCCAAGCTACTGCTTGAAGAAATCTACAGGGTATGTCTTCAACCTCTGCAGGTCTGGGAGAGGAGCCATCAGGAAGCAGTTCATTGTCTCTCTCCTTTTTTTGTTTTTTGTGTGTTTTAGGTGAGGCAACCCTTGGTTGACCTCACAAATTGCAAGGACCTTGTCAGTTTACAATCCCTTATTTATTTATTTTCTTTATGCCTACAGCACCTGGTCTTCCTAGGTGGTCTCCCATCCAAGTACTAACCAGGTCCGACCCTGCTTAGCTTCAGGGATCAGATGGGATAGGGCTTGTTCAGGGTGGCATGGCCGTAGACTCATTGTGTCTCATTTTTTGTCCTTACCAACTTTCTTCCTCTTTCAAGGGCTTAAGCCAAGGAGTTAACCTCTTTCTCCCCTTAAACAGTTTAACATGAGCTAGTTTAATGGATTATCTAAACTAGTCAGTGAATAGCAATCCAGCCCCCAGGTTTGGAACACGGGGCAGGTAAGTTTTAACAGTGGAGAGAGGAAAGAACTGGAACAGAGTCATACAGTAGAGAGAAAGTAAAGAAAGTGAAGCAAGTTAGGTGGAGACTGGCCAGTTGAAGAGATACATTGCCTTGACCAAAGCAGGTACCATCTCTCAGCTCCCCCAGTTGTTACCATGTGCGAGTGGGGGCTCACTATTTTCAGGTTTTTCAAGAGAAGTTGAAAATCTGGATTTGTATGTGACAATTGATTCAGATAGAATATAGTGTCAACAGACTAGATTTTGTAGTACGTTCTAGAGCATAGAAGAATGTTTGGGGAAGGCAGGCCTATGGCAGAGCATGGCAGGGGCTTTGGAAAAATGAGAACACAGGACAAAGAAGGAGTGACAGGAAGCTAAAGATCAGACTTTATTGATTGCCATTTCGCATCTGCAGCTCTGCTGGTGAGACACAGCTCAGACCAACGCAGGCCCCCCTATCCTCTCTCAGTTGCCACAATTTTTATCTCTTGATCCATGTTAGCAATGTGCACATATGTATACATACACTTTTACTCTGTTTCCCAAAAAATAGTTGAGGAGACCTAAAATTAGCAAGAAAGAAATTGGAAAGATGATGGCAGGAGAAATAAGATGAAGCTGCCTGAAAATACATTCTTTGAGGTCCTATATACTACTTGGTTAGCGAAGAATCACAAGTCTGGCTCCAATATTTCTGTTACTCTGCACTATCTTTTGCCTTGGTTCCATGTCAGGAAGGTGACACCTTTTCTTTGACATGCAGAATCCAGGACAGGCTCTGAGGGATGGTCATTATTCTGCTGTGTATGTGAAGCCCCACATTCTTGAACTGAGCACTAGCAAGAACTATATTCTGCTATTGAATAATGTATAATGTTTGTAAATTTTCTTTTTTCTTCAGCTGAAGAGCCTTTCATCTTTATTTATCTGTGTATTTATTCTCAGTTATTAGACATTTCTCTTTCTTTCTCAAAGTCTCCAAGGATGTTTTACCCTATTTAAAGTAGCAAAACTCATATGTGAGCCCAGTGAAATAAAACCAGTAAAGCAGGGATACAGTGGTGATCTTGTTTTATTTTTTAATTCTTCCTTTTGCCACTATAATTTATTAGTCACTGTGGTAAGATGATGCCTGGGTCAGAGGTATTGACCCCTGCACAGGTTTCACTAAGGAAAACAGCTTATGCCACAATCTTCTCCCCTGATCCAAATCACCATTCTTGAAAATGTCTCATTAGTCTTAAGGTAGAACAAGTAAGAATGAACTGTTACAGAGGTAATTAAAATGTCTAGATTTTAAATGGTTTTATTTAATGCCTATCTAATTAAAATGGAAGACAAAGGACCTATAATTGTGTCTTCAGTGGAGTGACTTCATCCCTTCTACTCACCATTCAGCTAGGAAATAGTGGAGGAAAGAAACGTTCTATCAAAAGAAATCTTCTTGAAGGAGGAAGCATCTTCTCACGATTTTTGTGCAGTTGAGGTCTGGCCTCAGCTTTTTTGATGCTAAATGAGCCCAATGTTCGATGCTTAATTTAGTGATTTTTTGGAAGTTGGAAATAAATGATCAAGAGGGTACCCTGTCAGTTACAAAGTTCAGGAAGTTTGTCATTTAGACATTTGTGAGGCTAGAATGTGTGTGTGATAGTGCGTCCCTAAGCCCCTGGTGACTTGTTCAGATTTCCCTTCCTTGGTCTTGTGCTGGCTGGCAAGCCCTCTTTCTGACCCTGGGGGCCCTTCCATCTCTTTCCAGTAGTCCTGGGAGAATTGAAAACATCACATTACAGAATAGCCAGGCTGGCACAGCTGGAGTGTGAGTTTTACATCCTCTATAAATAGCACAGCATACGCCTCAGGTTGAAAGCTTGCCAACTAGTCCACAAGAGAAAACAATCTGGATTAGGTTATTTTATTTTTTTTCTCTTCATTCTGGTTAAGTTCTACTTTAAACCATTTCATTGTGCCTGGACCAAGGTGGTTTTTTGTTTGTTTGTTTGTTTGTTTGTTTGTTTTTAATCATTAAGGAAATTTCCTTTGTGTTTGTCATCTTCAGTTGTTAAAAGGATGAAATGTTTTATGTTTTTATGAATAATTCTTTTTAGGTTTGTGATGTGATATGGTTTAAATGAGTAATAAAATTTCATCCTTTTTGGAGGTGCTCTTTATTTTTACCAACGTTTTAATCTTCTGATTGAATCCCTCTTGTTCTATTGATGTTTCGTCAGTTACCAACTCCTCTTGGTTCTATTCCAGGCTTTCTGGAACTGCCCTTTCCTATGCATCTTTTTTTGCTGCCTCCATCAACTAACCTCCTCCCATTCCCACAGTTATTATGTGTGCTGCTCTCCCCACTTGCAGGGGGGAGGTCCTTTCCAAAAACTCTCCAACATCCTCTTCAGTTTAAATCTTCCCCCTGATCTTTTTCCTTCTGTGTTCAGAGACCTTCACTAGCTTCTCACTTTCCCAAGATAAAGTCAAAACCCTTGACTCAGAAAAGCTGTCAGTCCACCTATTCTACCTTCTCCCTGCACCTTCTCAAACTTCTTCACAGACAGCATGCAGCCACTTTCAGGCTGGCCTCCTGGCTGTTCCTCTCTGGCCCTGGGTCATATTTCCCCCATCCTCTTATTGTTCCTCCCTCTTTAAATCCTACTTATCCCTCCAGGGCCAGTTTAAGTTCCACCTCCCCAAACCCACCTCCCCAAAGCCTCCCTCTGGTGCCAGGTGAGTGACAGCCCCTCCCCCATGCACTTGGGCAGTCCCAGTGCCCACAGCCCTCAGCTGCTGCATAGCTTTGGCTTCACCTTGCATTGTTTCTGGTTCCTTCTCCTATCTCATCTTGGCAGTGATATTGAAGCCACACAGCACAAGGGTTACATCTTCTGCTGTGGGGGTGGCCCCACTACTCCCTCCATGGGAGGGTGCCCCTGTACACAGATCCTAACATTGCACTAAAATATTGGTCTAGTACATAATACAAATCAATTGAGAATGGTGGAATAGCAACATAATGCTAGGAAGCAGAGATTGAAGAGAACAGTTTTAGTTTTAGTCTTATGAAGAGGAACAAGTTCTGTAAAACAGAATTAGTGTTGGTCTTCATTCTCCGTGGGTCAGATTTTTCTTTTTGGATGGAAATATATGTAACTTTTCTTGTCCTAACATTTACTAAGTGAGGTAAATGTTGTCCTTTGTTAATGTAGGTAGTTTAGGAAGAGCAGTAGATTTTCATAAAGGCTTAGCTAAGCCCGCTTATTTCCCTACTCCGTTGTTATAAGTGAAGTCTGATAGCAAAGAGTGAGTGTCTGTGCCTGAGAATCGATTTATTTCCTACCCCTACATGCATTTAAAAGGGAGAGAAGTGTACTCACATGAATAGCAGTAGGTGGCCACCTGTTCTGTTCAAAGTTTGAATGAATCTAGTCTTGGACATCGATGTGCTTTGGTCAGAAACTGGGTTCTTTTTGTGACTTGTAGATATGTAGAAATTCAAGGTCATCCTTCTTTCACTGTGTACAATGTCAGTTTGAATTATTTTAAATAGAGTTATCTCAGAAAGAATCAGAAATACCTTTTTTAAAGCACAAATGTAAACAGCAGTAATGCATACATCTAGTAGAAGCAAAATGGCTGAAATGTTTGAGCAATTCAAGAATAAAAGAAGAAAGGCAACCAAAGCAGTTGAAAAGTTTGTGAAAAGAATTGTGTTCTGCTTACTGATTTGGAAGAAAAGGAAGGAAAAGTGGGGAAGAATAGTGCATAAGTAATAAGAATAGAGGGATCTGATCATAACAGTTTTTCAGTTTTAAGACCCATAGGAAGAGATAAAGAGTAGAAACTAATGTAACATGGCACGCAGTTTTGGAATGTGGTTGAATGGTATTATAGGTAAGACCCTTGACAGGTAAAGGTCCTTTCATGTCTGATTGACTGTGGTGTTTTATGACATGAAATAAATAGAAGCTGCATTCACTTCACCCTTGTTAATTAACTGTACATTTACTAGAGCTAATTATGCTTTTTTGTTATATGTCCTGCTGCTACTCTAATTATGAAGGTAAAGTTTCATTTTCTCTAGATGGACCTTAGTAAATTTGAATGTCTATTTATTCTGATAGTCTCAGCTAGTATAGTTATTTTGATTAACTGTTAGTTTAACATCCTAAAGTTAATTGATGTAAATATTACTCTTAAAAGACCCATATTCTGTTTTATTATTGCTTGAACTTTTCAGTCTGCTCTTCTGTGGTTCTGATATTCTGGAGTATCTGTGACTGTTTTCTTGGTTTTCCGTTTCTTGGTTGGTACAATGATTAATCTTTAAAGCGTTTGTGTTTATAGGGTGGATGTGTGGACTCGACCAACCAAAGCCTTGCTCTACTGCTCATGACCCTTGGACAGCAGGATGTTTCCAAAGTCCTG